TATGTGAGTCTATGGGTCTCTATGTGTGTCTATGGGTATCTGCTTGAGTCTATGGGTCTCTGGGTGCGTCTATGGGTCTCTGGGTGCGTCTATGGGTCTCTATGTGAGTCTATGGGTCTCTGCGTGAGTCTATGGGTCTCTGGGTGCGTCTATGGGTCTCTATGTGATTCTATGGGTATCTGCGTGAGTCTATGGGTTTCTGCGTGAGTCTATGGGTATCTATGTGTGGGTCTATGAGTCTCTGTGTGAGTCTATGGGTCTCTGCGTGAGTCTATGGGTCTCTGGGTGCGTCTATGGGTTTCTATGTGAGTCTATGGGTATCTGCGTGAGTCTATGGGTCTCTGTGTGAGTCTATGGGCCTCTGTGTGAGTCTATGGGTATCTGCTTGAGTCTATGGGTATCTGCGTGAGTCTATGGGTCTCTGCGTGAGTCTATGGGCCTCTGTGTGAGTCTATGGGTCTCTGCGTGAGGCTATGGGTCTCTGGGTGCGTCTATGGGTTTCTGTGAGTCTATGGGTATCTGCGTGAGTCTATGGGTCTCTGCGTGAGTCTATGGGCCTCTGTGTGAGTCTATGGGTATCTATGTGTGAGTCTATGGGTGTCTGTGTGAGTCTATGGGTCTCTGGGTGCGTCTATGGGTCTCTGGGTGCATCTATGGATCTCTGTATGAGTCTATGGGTATCTGCTTGAGTCTATGGGTATCTGCTTGAGTCTATGGGTCTCTGTGTGAGTCTATGGGTATCTGCTTGAGTCTATGGGTCTCTGGGTGCGTCTATGGGTCTCTGGGTGCGTCTATGGGTCTCTATGTGAGTCTATGGGTCTCTATGTGCGTCTATGGGTATCTGCTTGAGTCTATTGGGTCTCTGGGTGCGTCTATGGGTCCTCTGGATGCGTCTATGGGTCTCTATGTGAGTCTATGGGTCTCTGCGTGAGTCTATGGGTCTCTGGGTGCGTCTATGGGTCTCTATGTGATTTTATTGGGTATCTGCTTGAGTCTATGGGTCTCTGGGTGCGTCTATGGGTCTCTGGTGCGTCTATGGGTCTCTATGTGAGTCTATGGGTCTATGCGTGAGTCTATGGGTCTCTGCGTGAGTCTATGGGTCTCTGGGTGCGTCTATGGGTCTCTAGTGTGAGTCTATGGGTCTCAATGTGAGTCTAATGGGCCTCTGCGTTGAGTCTACGAGTCCTCTGCGTGAGTCTATGGGTCTCTGCGTGCGTCTATGGGTCTCTGTGTGAGTCTATGGGTCTCTGTGTGAGTCTAATGTGAGTCTATGGGTCTCTGCGTGGAGTCTATGGGTCTCTGCGTGAGTCTATGGGTCTCTGCGTGCGTCTATGGGTCTCTATGTGAGTCTATGGGTATCTGCGTGAGTCTATGGGTTTCTGTGTGAGTCTATGGGTATCTATGTGTGAGTCTATGAGTCTCTGTGTGAGTCTATGGGTCTCTGCGTGAGTCTATGGGTCTCTGGGTGCGTCTATGCGTCTCTGCGTGCGTCTATGGGCCTCTGTGTGAATCTATGGGTATCTGCTTGAGTCTATGGGTATCTGCGTGAGTCTATGGGTCTCTGCGTGAGTCTATGGGCCTCTGTGTGAGTCTATGCGTCTCTGTGTGAGTCTATGGGTCTCATGGTGCGTCTATGGGTCTCTATGTGAGTCTATGGGTATCTGCGTGAGTCTATGGGTTTCTGCGTGAGTCTATGGGTAATCTATATGTGAGTCTATGGATCTCTGTGTGAGTCCTATGGGTCTCTGCGTGAGTCTGTGTCTCTGGGTGCGTCCTATGGGTATCTTGCTTGAGTTTATGGGTCTCTGGGTGCGTCTATGGGTCCTCTGGGTGCGTCTATTGGACTCTATGTGGAGTCTATAGGTCTCTATGTGAGTCTATGGGTCTCTATGTGAGTCTATGGGTCTCTGGGTGCGTCTATGGGTCTCTGGGTGCATCATGGATCTCTGTATGAGTCTATGGGTATCTGCTTGAGTCTATGGGTCTCTCTGGGTGCGTCCATGGTCTCTGTGTGAGTCTATGGTCTCAATGTGAGTCCTATGGGTCTCTCTGCGTTGAGTCTATGGGGTCTCTGCGTGAGTCTATGGGTCTCTGGGTGCGTCTGTGGGTCTCTGTGTGAGTCTATGGGTCTCTGTTTGAGTCTATGGGTCTCTATGTGAGTCTATGGGTCTCTGCGTGAGGTCTATGGTCTCTGCGTGAAGTCTATGGGTCTCTGCGTGCGTCTATGGGTCTCTATGTGAGTCTATGGGTATCTGCGTGAGTTCCTAATGGGTTTCTGTGTGAGTCTATGGGTATCTATGTGTGTGTCTATGAGTCTCTGTGTGAGTCTATGGGTCTCTGCGTGAGTCTATGGGTCTCTTCGGTGGCGTCTATGGGTTTTATGTTGAGTCTATAGGTCTCTATGTGAGTCTATTGGGTCTCTATGTGAGTCTATGGGTCTCTGGGTGCGTCTATGGGTCTCTGGGTGCGTCTATGGGTCTCTGGGTGCATCTATGGATCTCTGTATGAGTCCATGGGTATCTGCTTGAGTCTATGGGTATCTGCTTGAGTCTATGGGTCTCTGTGTGAGTCTATGGGTATCTGCTTGCGTCTATGGGTCTCTGGGTGCGTCTATGGGTCTCTATGTGATTCTATGGGTCTCTGTATGAGTCTATGGGTCTCTATGTGCGTCAACTGGCGACCTGACTGTTCTCCCACTTGTGTACCCATTGCTCGATGACTCGTTTGACTGACCGCTCACTTTGACTCTCACTCTCTTTGACTCTCTGTTCAATTCTTTGACTCTCTCCTTGACTCTCGCTTTGACTCTCTCTTTGACTCTCTCCTTGACTCTCTCCGTGACTCGCTCTTTGACTCTGTCTCTTTGACTGTCTCCTTGACTCTCTCACTCTCTTCTGACTCTCTATTCGACTCTTTGACTCTCTCCTTGACTCTCTCGTTGACGCTCTTTGACTCTATTCTGACTCTCTGTTCGACCTCTCTCACTCTCTCCTTGACTCTCTCCTTGACTCTCATCCTTGACTCTCTCTTTGACTCTCTCTTTGACTCTCTCTTTGACTCTCTCCTTGACTCTCTCTTTGACTCTGTCTTTGACTCTCTCTTTTACTCTCTCCTTGACTCTCTCTTTGACTCTCTCTTTGACTCTCTCCTTGACTCTCTCTTTGACCCTCTCTTTGACTCTCTCTCTTTGACTGTCTCCTTGACTCTCTCACTCTCTTCTGACTCTCTGTTCGACTCTCTCACTCTCTCCTTGACTCTCTCTTTGACTCTCTTTGACTCTCTGACTCTCTCTTTGACTCTTTCTGCTCTCTATTTGACTCTCTCTTTGACTCTCTCTTTGACTCTCTCCTTGACTCTCTCCTTGACTCTCTCTTTGACTCTCTGACTCTCTCGTTGACTCTCTCTCTGCTCTCTCTTCTGACTCTCTGACTCTCTCCTTGACTCTCTCTTTGACTCTCTTCTGACTCTCTAACTCTCTCCTTGACTCTCTCTTTGACTCTCTCTGACTCTCTCTTTGACTCTCTCCTTGACTCTCTCTTTGACTCTCTCTTTGACTCTCTCCTTGACTCTCTCTTTGACTCTCTCTTTGACTCTCTCCTTGACTCTCTCCTTGACTCTCTCTTTGACTCTCTCTTTGACTGTCTCCTTGACTCTCTCTTTGACTCTCTCCTTGACTCTCTCTTTGACTCTCTTCTGACTCTCTGACTCTCTCCTTGACTCTCTCTTTGACTCTCTCTTTGACTCTCTCCTTGACTCTCTCTTTGACTCTCTCCTTGACTCTCTCTTTGACTCTCTTCTGACTCTCTCTTTGACTCTCTCTTTGACTCTCTCCTTGACTCTCTCTTTGACTCTCTTCTGACTCTCTCTTTGACTCTCTCTTTTACTCTCTCCTTGACTCTCTCTTTGACTCTCTTCTGACTCTCTGACTCTCTCTTTGACTCTCTCTTTGACTCTCTCCTTGACTCTCTCTTTGACTCTCTTCTGACTCTCTGACTCTCTCCTTGACTCTCTCATTGACTCTCTCCTTGACTCTCTTCTGACTCTCTGACTCTCTCCTTGACTCTCTCTTTGACACTCTCTCTCTCTCTTGCTTACCTCCCCACGCGTCGCAGCCGTTAGCGGCGCTGTGTTCCACGAACCCGCCGAACCGAGTTCGATTCCCGGTCAGGGTGTGCGCGAGAAAACTCCATCATCGCCGACGCGGGCCCTCGAACCGGGTGTTCACCTGGTCGGTAGCAGCCTGAGATGGCCAAACCATAGCCGCGTGTTTCAAAAGTGACGTCATAGCTGGATGTCAAGACCGTTTAAATGCTGCATTTTACCTTTGGAAATTACATTACGCAATGACATACTCCACCACACTGGTCAATGCAGGTGGGTGAAGGTGGTGGGGGAGGAGGTGTGGGGCCCAGCAATGGGGGGCCCAGCAATGGGGGGCCCAGCAATGGGGGGCCCTACCCTCGCTGCCAGCGGCTGGCGCCCTGGGCAAGTTCCGAAATCGGCGCCCCAAACCCCAAGGGTAGCTCCAGGCTGAGGTTTCTTTGCTAAACTGGGAAACATTTCGGCCGATATTTTCCGTGTAATATTTTTTGTAAGCGGATTTTATTTTTTAAACAAAGGAATAATTATTCGTTTGGTCCCGTCCGTCCGTCTGTCCAACCAATGGATTCTCAGGAATATTGAGAAATTAATTATAATACATATTCCCTCCGTACGCGCATGGGAATTAAAATAATGACATCTTCGTTATTTTATATATATTTTTTTTTTACCTCGAATTTGGCGCCCCAACTCAACTTGGCGCCCTAGGCGACCGCCTAGTTCACCTGTATGGACGGGTCGCCGCACCTCTGTCGCTTGAACCACTCGCCAATGGTGGCAACCGAGTAGCCAGGGGTTCAATGTGCAATCCACTGCGCCACCGCTCCACCCATCGAGAACAAAATCCCACACGCGAAAATTGACTATCGCTGGTCGTTGCGTTGGTGTTGTGACTGCAGGTGGCACCCATCTGTGCTCTGACGAGGGACTAGGAAGGGAAGGGTCCCTTGCCCAAAAGATGCAGCTCCCTCCATTCTGAGGTCACGGCTTGACCTCCAACTCCATCTTAAAACAAAATTCGTCCCATCTCGCGAGTCTCCGTGGAACGTCGCTTCCTGCTCCGCGTGTCCAGGAGGACAACGGCCGTCATCGAACCGCCCGCAGCGGAGCGCGCTGCTGCTGCTGGAGTCTTTCGAAACAAACAGGACCCCGAATCCTCTGCATGACGGAGCAAGGGGAGCAAGCGGCGGGAATGCTGCCGGAGCACTGCAAATTCCTCCCGCAGGGCTCCAATGCGGGGATGATCGGTTTCTACAGCACCCTGCTGGTGCTGGGCGTGGCCGGGAACGGCCTGGCGTGCTGGCGAGTGCTGGGGCCCGCGTCCCGCGACCTCAAGAGCGCTCCGGCCGTGTTCGGCCTCAACCTGATGGCCGCGCATGCCGTGCTGCTGCTCAGCCTACCCTTTCGCATCGTCCACTACGCGCGCCCAGCGCTCGTGGCCGTTCGGCACGGGCTTCTGCTCGGCCGTGTCGGCGCCTCCTCTACGTGCACATGTACGTCTCCGTGCTCCTCTTCGTCTGCCTCTGCGTCTACCGCTTCGTGCAGCTGTGGCGCCGACACGGCGATTCTGGCGCGGGGGGCGGCGGTGGCGGCGGCGGCGGGAACGTTGCGCGCGCGGTGCTGCGCGCCTACACGCTGCCCGTGTGCGCCGTGGCCTGGGTGTTCAGCCTGGCGCTCGCCACCCCGGTGTACCTCGAGATCATCGGCACCAACACGAACTAGGGATGCGGCCAGGAAGGAGTCTGTCTGCTTCGAGTACAGCGGACGAGTCGAGGAGCCCTACGTCCTGCGAGTGAACGTGGCCCTCACCGCGCTCTACGCCATCGCGTGCGTCGCGTTCGTCGTCGGCTTCTGCCTCCTGGGCCGGCGTCTGCGGCGGGGCGCCGGGGGACGCCGGCCGGGGACGTCCGGGCCGGCGAGCGTGGAGATGAGGGCGCTGCTCAAGCTGCTGTGGATGTTCGCCGCGTTCGTGGTGTGTTACGGGCCCTACCACGCCACGCGGCTGCCCTACGTGGCGGCGCAGGCGGACGCGTCGGGAGCAGGCTGCGAGGGGAGGCACCGCTGGTACATGCTCAACGAGATGTGCCTGCAGGTGACGGCGCTCAGCACGTGCCTCGACCCGCTCGTATTCTTCATCATGACCCGCGCCTAGCGCGCAGCGCCAGCCACCACGGTGCCCGGTGCACAGTGACCAGTACATAGCGACTAGTACACAGTGACTAGTACGTAGTGCACATTGACTAGTACATACTGACTAGTACATAGCGACTAGTACATAGTGCACAGTGACTAGTACTTCGTGCACACTGACTCGTACGTAACGACTAATAGTGCGCAGTGACTAGTACGCAATGCACATTGACCGGTACATACTGACTAGTACATAGTGACTAGTACATAGTGCACAGTGATGAGTGCACAGCGCACAATGACTCGCGCATAGTGCACGTTGCCTCGTGGATTGTGATTGGCGCAGGGGTCTGCAAGTAAAATAACAAGCAGAGACATTGTTTTTTTGGAATTCGGTAAAAAAACCCCCATCAATATTTGAAGAGCCGCAATGCGATGTGAATGACGTCACGAAGCAGCAGTCATTAAAGAGCCGCACGCGGCTCCGGAGCCGCAGGTTGCCGAGCCTTGGACCGAGTGCGCAGCGCGCAGGGAGAGGGACACCGTAACTCCTCGTCGTGATGGATCTCTCGCATTGGGAGTTGGGCCGGTGTTATGCGAGGTGTTAGGGTCAAGGTTCGGACAGGGGTTAGGGCACGGGTTAGGGTAAAGGTTAGGGTAGGGGTTAGGATAGGGAGTTGAACCTGATCTGCATGGGTTCCGGTTTGACATGAGATTAGTGTTTAGGTCATAAGTGACCTCCAGCCCACTATGTACGGACCGTATGTTGAACTTCGTTCGCACCGTACGTAGCCAACCGTGCTAATCGGAGGTGCAAGGTTGGCTCGGGACGGGGGCCGTGGTGGCACGAGTTTGGACGGCCTTCAACTTTGTCGTCGAGATCCCTAGTCGACTCAGCCTTAAATTAGCACCTGGAGCTGTGCGTAAGGATCGGCACTGTTCGGACAAAGGTGATCAGTGTGGTACTGGGCTATAGGCCACACCACGCCGCCGCGCGCCGTCACGGCCTTAATAGGTGCTCGCCAATTGCACTTGCGCCAGCGTGAACTGTCTCTAAGGTGGGTGCACTCTGTCCAAAGATACAGTACACAAATACGTATATGGCCCTTTTACATCCACTGCTGGATAAAGGCCACCCCACGCCGTTTGGGTCGTGCGAGTTGTTTGACCATACTTCGCCACGCTTGGGCAGTGCGGGTTGGTGACAGATGCCGTGATCGGCGGCAATGGAACGCACGTGGCCTCAGCCGCGAGTGCAGTGCGCCAACTACTGCGCCAGCACTCCTCTATATGACCGGGCAGTAGTGGCGAGGCACGGTTGCCTGTAATCCAGCAACTGTGGAGGCAGCAGTGGGGGTTGGTGGATCACCGCACAGATGTCGTGAAACTCCCTTCCCGTGGGCGTCGAGGAGGGAGCCATTCCGTGGGTTTGCCTGGAGAAGGCGGTAGAGCTAAACTGTGGACTCCATCTGTTCCGTCTGTACGGATAGAGCGTTGCCCCTCGCACGCATGCGTGGGTTTTCTCTGGGTGCTTCGGTTTCTCTCCTGAGGTTATAAAAAAAAACAAATTCATTGGCCGATAACACGTTACTGCTATTTACTATTTTAATTTTACCAGGTAAGGCCCACTGAGCTATAACAGTTCTTTTTCAGAAGCAACCCGGCCATTAATAATAGCTCAACGAAGTGCTTATCATCATGTGGAACTTTTCGCAGCTAAATACTCGAAACGCATGTTTCTAAATGTGGAGGGGAACATCGGACTAACCCGGAGAAAAATCCACGCTACCACGGTGGAATGAGAGCGTGACACAAACTCCAAATATAGAGGCATCAGGGTCGGGATCGAACTCACGACCTCCTGCATGCCAGACGAGGTAGTTAACATCTCGCTACCGTGGCGCCCTTAATATATAGAGGGCTGCAGAGCTTGGGGAGGGGGGCGGGCAATTGTTGGTAGCCCCAGCTCATCGCCTGGCTGCTGCTGCCTTCCCCCGCTCATCTGCGGTTCCTCCACCTCGCCTCCCTGAGTCGTCCTCTCTCGAGGAGCGCGAGCGAATCCCCGCACTGTGTGGCGGCGGCGGCGCTACAAGTTGCGTTGACTACTGCTGAACGCTACTGAAAAAAAAAACAATAATCCATAAACAAGCTGGCAATCCGATCTAACGAGAGAGCCTCTGTTTTATTCAGTGTCGCGCCAACCGTGTGTGTGCTCACGGTGACAGTCGTAAGGTCTCGTGTCGTGCGTTGAATAAAATTCTGTAAAAGATACACACGCACACGCGTAGCTTACGATCTCGTTCGGAAACTGGTGAACTGCGTGGTGAGTTTAGTACTGATTAGACACGTTGGACATTGTGTGTACATTTGTAAATGTGTATTTGTATGCCTGCGTGTGCCAGTGTGTATCTGTGTGTCAGTGTATCTGTGCGCCAATCTGTGTGCCACTGTGTATCTGTGAGCCAGTGTGGTTTTTACGAAATTTCTCGTGAACTTATTTGACCAAAATTTCCGGACAACATTTTCCACGCGCTCGCCGCGAGATCGTCAAGACGAGAAGCCACCCGGGAGACCTGCGTCGTCATCCATCCGCTACCGGACACCTGTGGAAAAGAACTTCATAGCTTTTCAGATTTCCTCCTGCAGTCTAAATAACGATTCTGATTCTGATCGCCGGCAGCGTCACGGAATCCCTGCGAGTGGCAGCACTGAGGCGTCCCACATCGCCTTGCCAGTCATTGCAACACGTGGCAGATCTCTTGGTGAGCTCCCTGATGAGGTTAATACTTGTTGCTTTTAATTAATTATTATTATTAAATCGCTTTCATATTTAAGTTCCTTATTATTCTTGATTCGAAGCTTTCGTGACTGCAGGAATCCATACTCTTTTTAGGTTAGGAGTGTACACGAATGCAAATTTTTTTTGTATTAAATTAATGGAAAAAGCCATTCCGATTTACGAAATTTTGTTTAACAGTTATTTTATTGAAGAACGCGTCACTTTCGTAAATGGAGGGATGCCTGTACTTCTTATCTTATAGACTATCACAGTTTTATATTTTTCCCCCCATTAACGCCAGTGTCCTTGTAGAATGTCTTCCTTCATTGTTTGCACATCGCTGCCAACGCAGCAGTATCACCAGATAGCTCAATAACTCTTTTTTTAAACAATCGTTGAATTTAAATTGCGTTTAACAATGCTCCTGTAAAAAAAAATACATTTACCGTATTGTATTTATATTCTTTGGGTCTTTCGGTAAGGCCACGTAGATAGAATGGTAACGTTTCGATCGCAACACAAGCAAAGCGTGACGTCACATACCTACAGATTTGTGTCAACCCCTATCGGCGACATGACGTCACAGCACGGTGTTGAAGACGCTCAATAGAATCAGAATCAATAACTCTATGGCCTTTAAAGGAAAACTATATTAGAGGCGACGTTTCAGGCAATGGCCCTTCTTCATAGCACAAAGAGAGAGAGATCATAAGAGTTGGAGACAGCACTTATTTATATCCTGGTGCCTGATGGGAATTCAACTTTACACATATTAAAAGCTTGTTTTTTTTATTCAGTTATAAACAGTTACCCACATCAGTTACCCACATCGGATTCCTGCAGTGTAAATAAATGTTCCGATAAAATTTTGATTTAAAGCTTTCGTGACTGCAGGGATTAATATTCTTGGTTCTTTAGGTAAAGTCACGTGACTTTACCGAAATAACCAAGAATATAAATGTTCCGATTCTTAGAAGCTTTCGTGCCTACTCCTGACGTCACCCCCCCCCCCACCGTTGCATGACGTCACGTCACACATCCTCGCGCGTGGCCGCATGTAACCCACGCGGCCGCGGTGGTGACGTGAGGGCGTGGCACCCACGCGACAGCGGTGGTTACGAGACGTCATGTAACCAACGCGGGCCGCGGTGGTTACATGACGTAATCTCGCGGGTCTGACGTCACTTTGCCATGGCGGCTGTGGGTCAGCTGGGCGGGCTGTTGCCGCTGCGCGCTTCGTTCAGGTCGGTGACGACGAATCCGGCGATTTGGCGGCTGCGGGCCGAGGCATTTCGGAAACGCTCGTGCAGAGTTCAACCGCGAGGATGGGTACAAACTCAGCAATCATTGGAAGGACGTCATTAACCAGTTTCAGTTATAACTACTTGTGATGTTTCCATCTTGTCACCTTCCGATGTTAGTTTTATTTTACTAAAGATGGGGACAAGCAATTCCAGTTCCTGCGGTGTCGCCCGTCTGCGTTATGCGTACCACAAGCTGTTAGCGTCCACCTTTATTCTTGATTCTCCGATTTCACCTGCACATAACCCTCTGCGCTTGTACTGGTCTCAGGCCACCTGCGTGCCCCTTCCACTTCGTGCTGATGCCAGGACGCTTGGGCTACGCCCGTTTTAAACCTTTAAAAACAGCTCGCCTTTTAGTGCCTTTAGCCCCCTTTTTATTATTGCACGCTTTTTATTAACTCCGTTGTAATCCTCAAATCTTGTGACTCAATTTTTACCCATTTCCCAATGTGGTATCGACTGCAAACTCGGTATGCTTATGTCATACTGATGACAATATCATATTCTATCATTTAAAATAAAATATATATTTTTTTACATTTTATATATGTTGTGTTTCGGCTTGGGTCTAATTGTCCACGCTCAGCTGACGTTGGCTGTAATCACCACGGGTCCCTTACGTTGTGGCAAGCTTCGGGGCCACTTCCTGGAGTCGTGGAGTTCTTCCATTACTAGTACGGTACATTTAATTAAAGCGTGTTTAAAAAAAAATATTACTTATTTTATTCCACCTGATGACACTCGCTTGTGTTGCGATCGAAACGTAGTTTTTTGTTTATTTCATTGTTTTTTTTACCTATCTACTTGACTTTACCGAAAGACACAAAGAATTATGTAGAGTGCCATGGAGTTACAACGAGGTGTACAGAATTACATTGCCAAGAGCACTCCGACTCCCACCCATCCACCCACCTCTTTGTTGCATTACTTTGATCCCGGGCCATCTTCAATTCCTGTTCTAGGTACATGCTAATACTGCAATAAGAATAATAATGCAATTCATAGCGCCCACAATATTTCACGGAAACGAGTTACGTTTTACCCATGACACCCGCCCCACGGGAAAGGGAAGTAAGTCACAGGGATACTGTGGAGTGAATGAAAAAAGGAATGGGTGGGGGAAGAGAGAAGAAAATGGGAGAAGGAAACGGATCGGAGAAGTGGGAGCACGGGGTCAGGAGAGATGAGGATGGGGAGGTGGAGGAGGCTGCATCAGTGGTCTCGACACACAGCCCTAACCCTAGCATCCAACGCTCGAACCGCAAATACGACTGAAACATCATGGCGACGCACTCCGCTGCTTCTGACACAGTTGTCTGGCTTGACCACCTGAATGTGAAGTTGCAGTTGTTGCTCCGCATCTACATCCATCTACATGCGGCGCAACAAGGATGCCGCGGTGGTGAGATGTTATCTCCCTCTCCTGGTAGACAGGTGGTCATGGGTTCGATCCCGACCCTGACGCCTGTATTTTTGGAGTTTGCACGTTCTCCCCGTGGTCACGTGGATTTTTTGTCCAGGTCCTCCGGGTTTTCCCTCCCCATTTAGAAACATGCGCTAGAGTATTTGGCTGCTATACATTTCCACGTGACAAGCCACTTCGTTGAGCTATCATTTGTGGCCAGGTCGCTTCTGAATAAGAGCTGTAAAGCTCAGTGGGCCTTCCCTGATAAAAACATGAAAATAGTACATCAGCCATACGAAATAATAAGAGATCCCTAACATCTAAACCACACACGGTAGTCTAGAACCATCACAGGTCAACAAGTCGGTGGATGGGTCCTGGGGTGTAAACTGCTTTCCTGCAGGCGAGTGGACATTTGGCTGTGAAGGCCAAGAAATCCACACACCCGTTGACCTTCACCCAGCGTTACCGCAACCTCAGCCAAAGTCACCACCAGAGAGAGAGGCGGGTGGGGGGTGGTGTAGTTGTTTGCAAGTTGGATGAGTGCACTGCACAGCCATGTATATAAAATCTCACTTGGGCATTTTTCTTTTACACATTCCATCAATTAAGCTTGCCACGCAGCCATCTTGGAGCCCATGATTTAAAGCGACATTGGTTCAAACACGAGCAAACTCTGGACCGGATTCGACACTCACTGTCTCGTCGGCGGGAGTCGGGTCTTACGAGAAGGCGTGACCTGGACGGGAGATTGAGTAGCAACTTTTTATGGAATCAGCGCCTCCACTTTTAAAGTTCTTGTCACAAATGAACCACAATACCTTGCTGACCTCATCAAGGAGCATATAAATCACCACGGGAACTCCGGTTCATCCTCACAGCAGCAGATTTTGGCTGGCCATCGAACAGAGACAGCGCAACATTGTGCGCTTTCAGATGCTCTTCTGTGGCCATCTGGAAACGCTCTTCCAATATTAGGAAGCCACTGGAGTTATGCATTTTTATTATTTTGATTGCACACTCATTGCATGATCACTTATTTTTGTATTTAGTTTGTTGTCCTTCCCCCTGCACCTCTGATTAGCACGTTTGGCTACATATGGTGCGAAAGAAGTTCAACATACAGACACACTGCTTCCACTCGAACCCGAAATAGGATTGCCAGCTGGCTAAGGCCTGCCTGGTTACTCTCTCGAACCTATTTGGCGGACAGTGACAGCGTTACAATAGTTTTCAAACCCTCATCATCATCACACTGCTGTCGACATTGTCATGATCTTAATTGCGGTGCACATGTACAGACAGCCCCTTTTTTGTCAATAAACTGTTGGATGAGGGCCTCCCAAAACCGTGCGGGTCATCAAGGTTATTTGGCCATACTTCACCGTACTTCTCAGTGCAGGTTGGTGAAGTAGGGAGCATAGACATTTGGAGAATAGTCCAGCACAGCACACCATCATAATTCTACTTATTGATTGAAAAGTGCTGGTTTTCATCGCACTCGCCATAGTATTGATTTAGTAGAAGGTGTTTATCCGTCGTTTCGCTTTTAACTAAAGAGCCAAAAGTAGCACGAGGATGAGCTCCCGGTTCGCATATCACGGTGGAAAGACGATGGCACCAAGGACTCCTCCAGAGTCGTTCCTGTTTAAGGGACGAGCTTGGCGATCCAGACTCGCGTTACTTTTAGAGTTCAGTTCAGCACTGCGAGGAAAAACAACAGGAGGTAAATCATTTACCCGCTCCACCGTTACCACTGATCAGTGATGATTGGCAAAGTGGTACAGAGTTCGCAGCATAAACGCCAACCATACCTGTCGGCAGCGTCGATGGTATTGTCCCTTCGGAGGATTCAACATGTAGGTTTTCGCTGCCACTCATGATCCGAGTGTGGTATTTCTTGCTGAGCATATCTTCTCCTGGGCTTTTGCCACGCACTACTGCGACTGTCTTCAGAAGTTGTTGGGAGTTGAGAGATGCCTGCGGTAGTTGCGTGGGTTTTAGGTATGAGTCGTGATTTAATTGGGAGTCTGAAGATGTCCCGTATGGAGTTGACCAAACATCCCGACAGAGACCCGGAGAACTTGGCCAATTATTGGCATTGGTTCTGGCTGCGTTGCGACTCATCCGTGGTTTTCCATGCCTGTGAATCATTCTTGCTCCGAGCGCGAGTGTAAGCTGTGCCGCGTTGCGCATTCTATGCTTGCTGCGGTGAGTTAACTCTTTCGCCGGGTATACAGGAGGTCGTGGGTTTGATCCTTACCCTGACGCCTGTATATATGGAGTTTGCCTGTTCTCTCCGTGGTCGTATTGATTTTTCTCTGGGTCCTCTGGTGTTTCCTCTCCACATTTAGAATCAACATCATGCGTTTAGAGTATTTGGCCACTATAAATTTCCACGTGATAAGCCACTTCGTTGGGCTATCATTTGTAGCCGGGTCACTCCTGAAAAAGAGCTACATAGCTCAGTAGGCCTTACCTGCTAAAAATAAAAATAGGTTGTTTTTTTTACTCGGGAGATCACACTCGGGAGCGCGGAGCGGTGAGACGTCGCATCGTCTTGACCACGTGCTCATCCTCCGCGTCGTCGCCGCCTTGCAGGACAGTGCGGTGGAGAGACGATCCTCGTGCCGGCCTCCGCAGCTCCGCCGTGGCCATGCGTCCCGTAGCGAGTGAGGCCGAGTTTGAGGCGGCGAAGCAGCGGCTGGGACAGCTGACGTCGGACCCAGGAAATGAGGCAAAACTCCAGATCTACGCACTCTTCAAGCAGGTGGTACACGCACCCCCACCAACTACCACACCCCCTCCCATATCACTGCCACCACCACCACAACCCCAATCACCATCTCTACTACAACCTTAATCACCACCATCACCACCACAATCCAATCACCTGTACCACCACAACCCCAATCACCACCACGCACCACCATTACCTCTCCAACCCCAATCACCACCACCACTTCCACCAAAGATCCTCCGTATAGCCTTAAGATGCTGTTGGAGCAAGTGCTGTTAGCAAGTAGCAACTATAAATACCGGCATAGCACACGAGGGGGTGAGTAGCCAGCATCACGCCCGACCACCTTTGTCTCCCCAGTGGCGATATTTTTACACAACGCACCGGGTACTCATTTGAGGCCGAGTCGACCTAGGGGAGTCTCAGAACTGGTCCGGATAATCGTCACTGGTGTTAGCCATGAGCGGGAATCGAAGTCGGGTCGCTGGGTTCACAACCATCACAACCCAACCCCAATCACCACACACCGAGGTAAATAGCGGCCGGTCAGAGGGGAAACACCCTGTACAGAAAGTAAGAGGTGTACAGAGAAGACCGGCCTCTTAGAGATGGACGCGGAGAGAAGGAGAGGTCGACTGTGACATGAGCGATATAGAAAGAGAGAGAGATGGACATGAGTACAGGTGCAGCAGTCCCGTGAGAGAAGTCTAGAGGGGGGGGCGCAAGCCCCCCCGTACCGAAGAAGGTTCAGCCCCACCCCCCTCTCATAGTTTTTTTTTACAAAAGCACCATACTTACGTGCGCATGTGTGTGCGTGTGTGTATCCTGTGCTGTGGGTGGAGAGCGATAGTGTAGCGGTAAGCGCGCTGCGCTATGAATCTGGCGACACAGATTCGATTCCCGCTCACGGCCAACACCAGTGATGATTACCTGAACCGGTCCTGGGCCTCCCCTAGGTCGATTCAGCCTAAATGAGTACCTGGTGCGATGTGTAAACATCACCACTGGGGAGGCAGAGGCGGTTGGGCATGGTGCTGGCCACCCACCCCCTCGTGTACCGTGCCGGCCTTCAAAGGTGCTCGCTAACAGCACTTGCCCCTACAGTCTGTTAAGGCTAAATGGGGGATCATTGTCTTTGTATCCTGCTGTACCTGGTGCGGTGTGTAAACGTCGCCACTTGGGAGATAAATGCGGTTGGGCGAGCTGCTGGCCACCCACCTGCTCGTGTGCCGTGCCGGCCATCATAGGTGCTCGCTAACAGCACTTGCCCCAACAGTCTGTTGAGGCTATAGGGGGAATTCTTTGTCTTTGTTTCCCTGCAGTAAGGTGGCGTTTTGACGGAAGCGGTCAGTCGTATTTCCGCCGGCCTCCCCGTAAGCTGCTATCTGCAGCGTCGCTTGCTGACAGAAATCGTTATCAGGACGTTTTCCCCCTGCTGGGCCCGGATGGAATTTCCATGGCGTGGGAGGCAGCCTGAGCCAGCCGCCAAATGTTATTTTTGGGTCGGGGGGGGGGGTGTAGAAGCGGCGTCGGTGGCGATTTCTATTTTGAGCCGTCGGTTTGGCGCTGTGGTTGAGCGTTGGCGGTGGGTCTTGACGTGCCCTGCTGCGTCCGTTCAGTCCACGCAGGGGTCTTGCAACACCCCCAAGCCCGGAATGCTGGACTTTGTCAACAAAATGAAGTGGGAGGCGTGGAAGAACCTGGGAGCTCTGAGCAAGGTAACCGCTGCGTGTCGGTTCCGGGAGGCTACGGGGCGGTGACGCGGCCCAGGAGGTTCGCCAATTCAAATGCAGGCAGGCCACCCTGGCCATTGCCGCCGGTGTGTTAACCGTAAAGATATGCCTCTGTCTGGTTCGAGGTGGACGTTAAAGATCCCCTTGTGTCATTTTCTCAGAGTGGGCCATTGTGTGCTGGCATCACGGTCCGAATTTGGCAATTCAAAAAATACCCGAAAATTACTCAATTGGGGTTACGGATCACACGCAGCAATCATTGCCCCTACTGGCAGACAAATGCCCACTTGCAGGTCAGGTACCACCCAGAGATAGCTACCACTGAGGGTGCCCAAAATCTTCGAGATGATGCAAGTTCTGAGTTGCCCCGGCATAAAGGAGGGCAGCTATGTCAAACATAAAATCATTATCCCAACATTTAGAGCGCACGTTTTATATTTCCATTCTAAGGCCATCTTCACCAGGTTGACCCTGCAATTGAGTTCTTATATGGTAAACAAACTCTCAGATTCTGACAGCTTTGTTGTGGACATGTTCGCAGCATGGCAATCAAATGGATATATTTTCGTGTTATTCTCAGAGCTGGATTGAGCCATAACGCGACATGTTTTTTTGCGCGTGGTCAATTGATAAATGGGCTGAGACCATCGGGTCGCTACATTTGAGGAGACCCAGCTACGTCGAGGAGGGCTGAATCCTTCACTCTAACCCAAGATCTCAGCCGTTGCCTGCTCACCATCTTGGACCTGGCCATTATGAGCCCCATTACCCAACCCGGGACCACCTCTCACTTTAACTTTCTTGGTGGGGGGTACGGCGAGTCGCACATGGCAACCTCAATGCCAGGTCAAGGTCCAGAGATCATCACGGCCAGCGCTCCCGCATCTCTCCAGTTGTTGCAATACGGATTGAGGTGTCTCAACCCGATTTGGTCTCCAACGATTGACCCCATGAGCCACCCAACCACCTCTGTATGTATGTTGAGATCCTGGGTTAGAGGGCGCCATGGTGGTGAGATGTTAACTACCTCGCCTGGTATACAGGAGGTCGTGGGTTTGATCCAGAACCCTGACGCCTGTATATTTGGAGTTTGCGTGGCTGCAATAAATTTCCACGCGATAATCCACTTCGTTGAGCTATTATTCATGGCTAGGTCGCTTCTAAAAAAGAAGCTAACAGCTCAGTGGGCCTTACCTGGTCATATAAAAAATAGTTTAGTTTACAGATTGAGGTATCAACCCGGTTTGATCCCCAGCGACTGACCGCATGAGCCGTCTCTCAATCACGATTGCTCGTAATGACACTTCCACCACCCCCCCGCCCCCACCGTTGAACCCCGGCAGGAGGAGGCTCGGCTGAAGTACGTGCAGCTCATCGACTCGCTGGTGGCGGCCGAGACTCCTGCTGCTCCGTCGACGGAGGCCGGCGCCACAGCTTACCAGACCCTGCAGCTGAAGCGTGAGAACAACATGACGGTGATCACGCTGAACCGGCCCGACAAGAAGAACGCCATCAACAGCACGGTGACGCCTGCAAACCCAACTCTAAACTAAACAATGTTTCTATTTTACCAGATAAGGCCCACTGAGCTATATAGCTCTTTTTCAGAAGCGACCTGACCACAAATTACAGCTTAACTTAGTGGCATATTGTGTGGAAATTTACAGCAGCCAAATACTATATACGCACGTTGATTCTAAATGTGGAGGGGAAAAACCGGAGAGCCAGGATTAAAATCCATGCCACCACGGGGAGAGAGAGAACACGCAAACTCCAAATATACAGCAGGCGTCAGGTTTGGGATCGAACCCACGACCTCCTGCATACCAGGCGAGGTAGTTAACATATCGCCATCACGGCGCTTTGTTGCCACCGCTATCTCCCGGCTGACTTGCCGTTAAAAGAATGGCCCTTGTAGCTCACTGGGGAACTCCTGCCACCATCTGACTTGAGACATGCATACCATCGTCACGGAGGATGTGCGGTTTGCAAGTGCCGACGCGTGAGAGGTGCGATTGTGTTGCGATGGTCCTTGAGGTACCTGTGTCGCCTCCCAGATGTACGAAGAGATTATGAAGGCGTTGGAGGAGGCTGGGAAAGACGAGTCCGCGTTTGCCGTTATCACAGGCGAGATTCCCCATACGCCATCGCATCTACATATATATGCTTGTTCCAATGTTGTACATCATCATTAGTTTGCATCCCTTTTTGCCAATCCACTGCTGGATGAAGGCCTCCACACAGCAGTGAGGTCACGGGGTTTGTTTGACTGTACTTCACGCTGGTCAGTGTTGCTTCGTTAAGGAGTGGGGAGGGGTTGGATAGCCGTGGCTGGGAGTTGCTCTCGGGTTACCAGACTCATAGCACCGTGAATTAAACACTGTAGCCGTGTGTGCACCTGCACCAGTATGTATGTGTGAGCACCGGCGAGAGTGGGAGCGAGCGCGTACGCGCACGTGTGTGTGTTCACCGGCACACATGCACGTCTTGCCCCAGGCGCCGGCGATTACTTCTGCAGTGGCAACGACCTCAGCAACTTCACCAACATCCTGCCCAGCGGCATCAAGCAGATGGCGCTCGACGCCGCCGAGCTGCTGCGGTGAGCCGGGGGGAGTGGGTGAGAGGGTGGCAGTGGTGGTGTTGTTGGGTGCTGATGGTGATTGATAAATGCCAGTGGTGATGGGCAATGGTGGTGAGTGGTGGTGGTGGCGATGAGTGGCAGTGGTGGTGATTGGTGGTGGTGGGTGACGAGTAGTGACGATGGTCAGTGCTGTTGATGCACTACAGTGGTGGCAGTTATCGGTGGTAAAGGGCAGCAGTGAGGATAGACGCTGGTGATTGGTGATGATGGGGTGATGGATGATGGTGACGGGGGGGGGGGGTGGCGAGCGACGGACGACGGTGATGGGGGCGGTTGGTTGGCGTTGGTAACGATGGCTGTTCCCCTCTGCGCGAGCAGTAGGTTTGTGTCGTCCTTCATCGAATTCCCCAAGCCGCTGGTGGCGGTGGTGAACGGCCCGGCGTTGGGCGTGGCGGTGACGCTGCTCGGCCTCTACGACGCCGTCTACGCTACCAGCAGGGTCGGCCACCCACCCACATGCATGTCTACATCACAAGGGATCCCCCGGAGATAGCCCCCTCTAACGGACTGTTGGGGCAAGCGCTGTTGTAGCAGGCATTATTGAAGGTCGGCTCGGCACACTGGCCGCCTTTGTCTCCCCGTTGCTGATGTTTCTACACACAGCACCAGGTACTCGTTTAAGTTTATGAGTCGACCTAGGGGGTGGCCCGGGACCAGTTCAGATATTCGCCACTGATATTGCTCGTGAGTGGGAACTGAACTTGGGTTGCCAGGTTCGCAACGCGTCACACTAACTGCTGCGCCACCGCTCTCCTATACAAATACATGTGTTGCGTCATAGAACGACGCGGAGACGGAACTTCTTGTAAGGGCTTTCGCCATTTATTAACACTGTTTAAACACTTAGGCTCACACCAGGGGTAGGTGTTCTCTATACTCGGTCCTTCCCATGGACCCCCGAGCTCTACTCGTCCTAACCTCGGCTATCCCTTGGGCTCTCTCACTCGGGCCGGGACGGGGGTTCATCCAACACCGCCCGGCCGAGGAGAGGAGAACCCCACTCTTAGCCAATTTTCACAGACTTCTTGGAGCCCTACTCTCGGCTATCTCTTCGGCTCTCCCACTCGTCGACCCCGGACGGGGGTTCACCAAACACCGTCCAGTCACGAGCGGGAGAGACCTCCTGCAGCCGATCCACAGTCCGGGCTCCCACAACGAACGACCCTGCTTTCATTACGGGCGGCTCCACTCCTTCACTCGGACCCGCCACTGATTCTGAAAGTATCCCCATACAGCACCCATGACATGACATAATTACACTACATTACCCCCCCCCCCCCCCACGGAAAAAAAAAATCAGCCGTCCCGGCTGCTAATTATACAAAATTTGCCCCGCATCGGGGCCGATACCTAAAGCCAGCAACCAACAATCAGAACAATTGTAACAACATAACAACAACAATAACGGATGTGAATGAAGGTGTGAAGGCAGAGCCGTCTGCGGGTGAACAAGATGATAAGGCAGGACGGCAAGTGTAGGAAGGCCTTCATCCTGCAGTTAAAAGCGCCGACCACGCGTCAGCGACGGCTAGTGTCCGACGACAATGTGCCCAAGGGGAGGTGGTCAGCGAAAAAGAGTGCCCCTGGAGCGCGTATGTTCAGCCGGTCCGCTCTCCCGGGCAGCGTCCAGTGTCGGAGTAGGCGGAGCACCCGTCAACGTCGGTCTCGCCACCGAGGAGCCAACAGGCTGTGCCTCAGGAGCTACTCGGAGGGGTTCTGCGGGTGGACAGACAGAGGGCTTACACTGCATAGCATCCCAGCCAGGGCGGTCCGGCTCGTCGGACGCATCAAGCACCGGCCGCTCCGGAAGTGGGGATGGTTCAACAGGACAAAGTAACACGTATATTTTTAACCAAGACGAGTGGACAATCCAGTGCCGGCGACTGAAGAGGATGAGCACACACTGTGGCCGGCGAACCTCCACGACCTCAACAGGGTCCTGCCAAGGGCAATGTAATTTTGGGGACGTCCCAATGGGCACGCCTTCTCCCCTTTCACCCATGGAAGCCCAGAGCCCTGATGCTTTTGTAAGCATTCGCTAGCCGCTTGTCGGCTGGCCGAATTGTCCACAGCCGCTTGTCGTGCTTCACGCAGCCTGTCGAGCATGACCTTCATTGAAGCGGGCACATCGGATCCCTTTTTAGACGGCCCCAGGCCCATTTGCACGTGCATCAGGTGCTCCGGTTCCCTCCCGTACATTACGTAAAAGGGTGAAAACCCCATTGAGGAGTGAGGGGCCAACCTGTACGCGGCAAGGTCACCCGGAATAAACAGGTCTCAGTCTAACTGAGACGCTCTCAGGTGGCACAGCATGGATGTGAGGGTGCGATTCAACCGCTCCACCATCCCGTCAGTTTGAGGGTGGTAGGGCGAGGTCCGGATTTTCTTGTTGCTGAGGAGGTCACAGACCTTGAGCAACCGGGAAGAAAAGTTGCGACCCTGATTGGTTAACAGTTGTTCAGGGGCCACCCTTATCTAAAACATACCCATGCAAAAAGGCATCGTTGATAGACGAGGCCGATTGGTTTTGCAAGGGCCACGCCATGGGCCAACATGTGAGGTATTCCACCCTGACCAAAAGATACACGTGGCCCCGTTGGGAAGTTGGAAATGGGCCCAAAATGTAGAGTTCATTCACACGGGAAACCTGGATGGACTGTAGCGTGGGCCGATCACACACAACCGGGGCCTTCCGCCGTGCACAATCGTGGCAGCCACTCACAAGTAGCGCCACGTTGCTTTCCACGCCCGGCCAGTAATAATCCCGCTTAAGGGTTAACAAGGTCTTGTGGAACCCAAGGTGTATCAACTTCTCGTGAACTGCACGAGTCAGTTTCCCTCGTAGAACAGTGGGCTTCACCAAACAATACCTCTCCAGCTCCGTATCCCAGCGCATAAGTAGGCCATCGTGCAGGGCAATGGCCAGGGCAGTCGATGGAGAGGAAAAACGGCCGTCCGATTTAACACGGCGTCACAGTTTTAGCAGAGAGGTGTCCTCCATCTGCAAGCGAGACCATTCCTCCCAAGGGAGACCTAGGCCGAAATCCATGTGCAGCGACACACCCGGAAGGGGAGCCGTGTCGGCTGTCGCCACTAACTGGGGCCTGTTGTCAATTGGGGCCCTGCAGAGACCCGAGCCCGTTGTGCACGCACACCTGCCATCCGGAGGCAACCTAGGCAACCCATCCGCATTTCTATGCTGTGCCCCCTTCCTGTGGATGACGTCGAACGTATATTCCTGCAGCACCTCAAGCCAGCGGGACAGCTGACCCGAGGGCTGATCGATGCGCAAGGAATATTGCAGGGCCGCATGATCTATGAGAACGGTGAACCGCCTGCCATACAAGTAGGGCCTATACAATTGCACGAAAAACACGATGGCAAGCAGCTCCCTACGAGTCACACAGTAATGCTGCTCTGCGGGGGACAACACGCGACTGCCATACGCCACGACCCTTTCAATGCCATTGACCACCTGGGCAAGTACAGCCCCTATGCCCGTGTCGCTGGCATCAGTGTCGAGCACAAATGGCAGGGAGAAGTCAGGATACCCCAGGGGGGGGCGCATCCGCCAGGGACGCTCAAAGCACGACAAACACTGCTTCCTCCTCCTTGCCCCAATGAAACTTTTGGCCTTTAGCTGACAGCGTGTGGAGTGGTTTTGCGACAGTCGCAAAATCCCCCACAAAGCAACGGTTATACGAGGCGAAGCCAATGAAGCTGCCAATCTCCACGTGGGTTTGGAGACCTCATCCAATGGCAATTGCCAGAAGCCTGAAAGCAAATCCAGGGTCGAAAAGAACCGCGCACCCGAGAGGGCGTCAAGAGAATCGTCCATGCGAGGAAGGGGATAGGCATCTGCCACCGAAATCTTGCTTAATTTACGAAAGTTGACGCAGAAACGGAGACTCCCATCCCGTTTCTTGACTAACACAATCGGGGCGCCCCAAGGGCTAGTAGTAGAGATGATGTCCGCCGCCAACAACTCATCAACGGTCAAGTGGACATGATCCTTCTCTCTAGGGCTAAAGCGATGGGAATTCAGCCGAATAGGGGGCGAATTCCCTGTGTATATGTGATGCTGTAATAAGGACGTGCGTCCGATATCGAATTTGCTATGACTGAAAACATCGGTAAATCGTTCAATAAGCGCGCAGAGCCACTGCCACTCCTCGAGGGACAAGAGGGCATTTTTCAGACAATGTGCATCAATCCAGGAGTCGTCGGGCTTCCCATTCTGTACTACGCCAGCCACAACCCTCTCAACCGGCATGGCGTTGTCCGGTGGGAGAGCTGGGGTCGCGTGCGCCAAAACGGTGCCGGCTGGAACAATTACATGCGAAGGACCCACGTTTAGAATTTGTAAAAAGGGCTCCTGGTCCTTCGACATGACCGTCAGGGCACCCACTAAACAGGAAGTCCGCGAAAAGTAGTTAGAGGGAGTTAAGAGGACGCCCGCCTCTGGCGTATGCAATTTCAGGGGTTTGCGCAACCTCAGCGGTATCAATATTTTGTACCCAGGTGGAATGTTGATGGAATCCCTAGCCAAAGCTCGTACGCTGGCAGCAAGAGGAGTTAACAAGGTAGGGGAACGCAGAAAGTTCAAACGACAGCCCGATGGCATCTCCACACAACCTGGTCGATCAATATTTTCATTGGCATTTTGGCCAAGAAATCTGTGCCCAAAAGGCGTGGCACTGCCAACGCCTTTAAGACTAAGACGGGGCCTTCCAATTCAATATCACCAATTCTAATGGAGGCAACGATGTGACCCAATATACCTAAACTACTTCCATTTGCGGCAACGCAAGCCCCTTGTACAGGCCTCAATCGAACAATGCTGTGTGGTAATAACCCGAAAATGCATTCTGATATAATGCTGGCCGACCCACCCGTGTCCACCAAAATCCGGACTTACACCCTTTGGACGTAACCAGCGACCGCGGAGGAACCTGCCGCGGCCGCCACAACCCGATGCGCGAGTGCAGCCCATTGATGGACCTGCTTAGGCCACCCGGAAACCAACGGCGAGCGAACATCGAGCGTTTCCGAACTTTTAGTGGTGCCCCGGTGATCATGAACCCTATCCCCACTAGATGTGTGAGGTGGGAGGAGCGGCCGAGTGGCTGAGGCCCAGATGATGACGCCGATGTGGAGGCGGAGAGAGACGAGGTCCCGCCGAAGGCCCCAGGAGCGTTGCGGCAGCCCCGTCGCGATGTGGCCAGGCTGGCCACAGCGGAAGCAGATGGTGGAGGCCGCCATCGCTGCTCCGGCCGGCGGCCCCTGGCGCCTCTCCCAGCATTGGTCGCGTGCAGCGTAGGCGGCAAGATTATTCTCGTCCTGCGGCGTGCCAGCCCTCGCTGGGCCTGGGTCCCCTGCGCACGCTGTCACACCGCGCCACTGACGCAGGCCGATGTGTGCTTGGATCCCCTGCGCCACTTTAAGGGAAGAGATGTCCGCCTCCTCCGCTATAGCCAAAACTACACCGAGCTCCCGCGTGAGGGAGAGCAGACGCTCCAAAGCCAATGAGTCGAGCGCCGCACAATCCATATTGGGGTATGCCGCCCAACTCGGCACCAACAAGTAGCTGTGGAAGGCGAGAGGCGTCTCAGCCTCCCCCCGCCTCCGCAGCAAGAACTTCTGGCGTGCGCTGGAGGGCGGCTCAAAAATATCAGCCATTTGGGTGTACGCCATGGGGAGCATCGCCCTGTCCGCAGGCGGATTCGAAGTAAATGTGGCTAGGGAATCATCATCTAATGCCGTCGGGAGTACCTTGAGGGCCTCATCCATAGGCAACCCGACCGAAGCGTAAGCCGCATCGAACCGGCCTTGAAAGGACGTCCAGTCTCCGCCAGCTGCGATTAATGGACGAACAGGCAGCAGGCGATGAAGTTTGGAAGAGCCGTAGCTGAAGCCTGGCGTGGGCGCTCCCGAAGATGCACTCGGCGGCATCGCTGCAGCAGAGGCAATGGCGCCCGGTTGCTGTGTCGCATCTTGGGAGAAAATGTCGCCCGGTTGCTGCGTCACATTCAAAATGGTGCCCGGTTGCGCTGCACCCGGGGGCAAGATGGCGGCCGATTTCTGGGTCGCGTCCGTTGAGAAAACGGCGCCAAATTCGAACATGGCGGGAGGAGAAACAGCGGGAAGCGCCCGATCTCGCTCCAAAAAAGTGATGGGCGCGCACGGCCGACTGCAGCAGCTGGCCGAACTAGCTGGTGAGAAGTCGCCAGCTCTCCTGAGGTGGTGAGTGGCCGGCCACGGCCGCCACCTCCTCCTACACGGGTTGGCCGGGCTCCACGGGGCGCATCTCCGGGGCCTCGGACTCCGGGGACGTTGCGGGGACCTCTTCCGTGCTGTTTTTGTCGTCCGATCTCGCAACAGGTGGGTTCTTACGCTTCGTAGCCAACTTCAGAAAGACGTGCTCACACAGACATACACATACAACTTATTTTTTGTGTGTCAGTACTGTTTTGATCTGCCTACCTCGATTGTACGTGAGCAGGAATCAAACATGGGTCGCTGGGTTTGTGGTGCAGTGCACTAACCGCTACACTACCACTCCCCACAGAAAGACGTGCTCACACAGACACACGCACACATAAACCTTGTTTTTGTGTCAGTACTGTTTTGATCTGCAAGTCTCTTTTTTTTCTGTCTCGTCTATAATTTCCGTGTTATTTGGCCTACCTCCATTGTCCTGTTTAGTCTTTTGACCATTAGCCTCAAGGGAACGTTTGTGTACGATTTGCATGCACAAAGAATGGAGGCGCCATCGGTGGTGAGATGTTATCTCTATCGCCTGGTATGCAGGAGGTCGTGGGTTCGATCCACATGATAAGTCACTACTTTTCATAATAATGCGGCTTGGAAGTGTGTTATTAAATAATACATATTACAATTCCTTATAGGGGAAACACATACTAATTAACAGATTACTAATGTAGCATATAATCACAATAACACACATTACAACTAATTACTAATCTACAACTCATTACTAATCATAACCATTGACTGATTACCAATCGATTATATAATTATAACACCCCCCCTCCGCCTCAAATCACTGCACCTGAAATGAGTTAAATGATGACGTCACCCTGCTGCTCTATTTAAGACCGGGAGCAAGCGAGGACTTTACCATTCTTGCGAATTGCCCGATGATGCTGGATGTAATTACCAGCGAAACGTCGTACTCAAACTGTAAATGTTGTGGATTCACTCTTCAACACACCGGTGGGCTAAAGTAGTGAACTATTTGTCTTTTGACAACGTGACGCTTTTTTTTTTGCTGATTGGCCGTGTCGGGTGGTGGAGGGTTACGACACATTTATAAATAACGCGATCTAACCCAAAAACCTTTATTATGAATAATATTGGTCACGAAAGCCTACGTGTTAAACTAAGCCACTACTTTGTTACGCTAACATTTGTGATACCCAGGTGGCTTCTGAAAAAAAAGCTACATAGCTCAGTGGGCCTTACCTGGTCAAATAAAAATAGTTTAATAGCTCTTTAGTATCTTGGTGCGTGCTCACGGTGCTCGCTCTGTGTCTCCCCTGAAGGCGACGTTCCAGACCCCGTTCAGCCAGCTGGGTCAGAGCCCCGAAGGCTGCTCCTCCTACATCTTCCCCAAGCTCATGGGCGCCGCCAAGGTGAGCTCCGCCATGCCGTGCCCTGGCGTCCTGGCGCTCGCTGCCCGTACCGACGCCACTTGGCCCCCTGCCTCAAGAGGATTGGCACACCACCATGATCGCCAATATCACGCGAGCGCGCAAGCCGCCAGCCAGCTCCTCCTCCCCACCAGCACCACCTGGACCACCCACATACATCCCTAGGGTATAGGTCAAATGGTAATTGCATGTGAGGTTATCAAGAAGAATAGAGAGCTCGGCATCAAATTCTGATTTGGACAAAAGGGGTAACCAAAGGATGCGTGAAGCGATGGGATTCCAAGTGTTTTGGGGCATTAGAGAAACATGCCAAATGTGTCTCCACTGAGTCTGTGGGTCTCTGGGCGCGTTTACTGGTCTCTGTATGAGTCTACTTGAGCCGGCAGAATTCCAGGTGTTTCGGACATTGACAGAGTAACAACGCATATAAACAAGACACCCACACGTAAAATTTAAGTGTGTGCGACGTGCGCACATTCTCCTGCTCGTCCCCTTCTGTCCGTCCGTCTCACGCGCACCCTGTCCTCACGATCTCCCAGGCCACCGAGATGCTTCTCTTCAACAAGAGGCTGACGTCCCAGCAGGCGTGCGACCTGGGCCTTGTCACCGAAGTCTACCCTGACAACAGCTTCCAGCGGGAGGTGTGGGCTCGCTTGGAAACGTTGGCCAAGCTGCCCAAGAAGGTGCGTGGTTCCATCGTTGTTCCGTCGTTTCTATTGTTTTGCCCAAATTGCTTAGTTGGGCACGGTGGGGGGGGGGGGGGGTGCAGCGGTTAACACTCATGACTCGCAGCAAGAAGGGCCTGGGTTCGACCCCCGACTCACAGGTGCCTTTTCTGTGTGTTCTGCATGGGTTTTCTCCGGGTTCTCAGATTTCCTGTAATGGCAAAAAAACCACACGGTAAAGTGTACGATTGAACTGTTTTTTACGGTAATGGGAATTGGCCCAAAAGCATCCCAGTGCTGAACAAGAATGACCTGAGAATTGACTCGCTTGAGATCACATGCAGAAAACATTGCCGCCCACTGCTGCAAAAACTTGGCAGGACCCTCCTGAAAGAGAGTCTGGAGACTTGGCGAGTCTTTCCTGGTGCTAGAATCAAAAGCAGCGACAGAAAATGTTGAAGGCTAGCAGTAAACACTGTTGTTTTGTCTTTTTACGGAGCTGACAGGTGCTTATTGATCTGCCCACAAAATATTCTGTCCATCTATTCGTCCTTCTGAGAACACTTAACTGTGTGGTGGTGGCTGTGCACATCGTGGCTGCCTGTAACCCAGCACTGTGAAGACAGCGAGGGCTAGTGGGTTGCCGAAGAGATGTTGTGAATCTCCCTTCCCTGTTGGTGTCGAGGTGGAGCCATACTTGGCTCGCTAGGAGATGACAGCACAGCAAATGTGCACGCCACCTGTTTCATCTGTACGGGATAGAGTGTTGCCCCCTTGCACGTGTGGGTATTTTCCTGGTGCTCTGATTTCTTCCCACTTGTGTAACCATCCGGTAGTGAGATGAGCAAAGGGCTGCACCACGGTGGCGAGGTGTTAACTACCTCAACTGGTATGCAGGAGGTTGTGGGTTCAATCCTGACCATAACGCCTGCTGTATATTTGGGCTTTGCCTGTTCTCCCTGTGGTTGTGTAGATTTTCTCCGGGTCCTCCGGTTTTTCCCTCCACGTTTCGAATCAACATGCATGAAAGTATTTGGCTGCTATACATTTCCACGTGATAAGCCTTACCTGCGCCGCTCCATGTAACGAGGTCGCGTCGCAGGGCACGTGCGTGCGTTGATCTTCTTTCGCACCGTACGTAGCCAACCGTGCTTTTCGGAGGTGCCGGGGTGGAGTTAAGAACAGGCAAACTAACAATGTGTCATCGCGTTTGCACGCGTAGTCCCTGGCGTTCTCCAAGCAGCTGTCACGCGACGCGGAGCGGGAGGCTCTGCATGCGGCCAACTTGCGCGAGTGCCAGTGCCTCATCGAGTGCTTGCAGTCCGAAGAATGCATGGCCGCCATCGCAGGCTTCTTCCAGAGCAAGGCCAAGCTGTAGCCCGCTGCCAGGGGCGGGGGGTGGGGTGAGGCGGCCGCTGTGTGCGGTGCCGTGTGGCGCCACATCTCACCGTCGCGCTAGTGGTGGTGGTGGGTGTGCGGTTTAGTGGTTAGGCGTCGTGGTCATTTCGTGTTGCAGCGCCGTGAGATTACGTGTGAGTGTACCGCTTTGGAATGTGCTCGGAGTTGCATCCGGGAGCGATGAATTGGCGCCGAATGGGACTGATTGTAGTGGCGCGCGTTTACCGAGATTCCGTTTCGTAAACGTCCAATCAGCAGCTGCTGCTGCACTGTGAAAATTTGGTGAAAGAGCATTGGACTGTGATGATGCACACATACACGCGCGCATGCAGACACGCGCACGAACACGCAGGCACATGCACACATGTACACAGACACAAGCATACACACACATATAGAGTACTAGCGGTAAGTACCCGGCGTTGCACGGGCGAAAAAGGCAGACACACACATGGAATTACACACAGACATTGACCCACACATAGAAACACATCGACTTAGACGCACACACACATATGGATAAACCCAGGATGGATCGTTAGTAGGCCAGCCTAAAAGTTTCTAACCGGCGAAGATGTTACATTAGGTGGGTGCACGCTTCGCAAGCCTAGAGAAGGGAGGGCATTACCGTGCCTGAGAAGACCTGGAGCTTCATGCGGAGCGAGAGACCAGGTGGCTTCCACACAGCATAACGCAGCCGATGAAAAGATAATGGTGCTCAACTGATTCGGAGTGAGACCTCTGCTGTTAAACCGGAGCCGGTCATGAGCACACTGGGCAGGTATGGGAATCTGCAATCTCTCCACAACTGCCGCATCACCAATTGTGAGTTGTGGGGGTGGATTGTCTGATGGTGCAAAATACCCAGGCAGGTGCTTAGTTTTGATGGGGCTGATGGTAAGGCCCCACCCCTTAGTGCCAAGCTCCAGATTCAGCAGCAGTGCCTCCAACTCGTCCTCTGAGTGAGCAGCAATCACCAGAGCATTGGCATACAAAACATGGTTGATCAATAGGGAGCCATCTCTTGACCGCACCTGGGCATCAATCAGCCTCCCATTGTATCTGTAGCATATGGTAATTCCTCCGGTACAGCCATTGAAGGCTTCACAAACTACGTGGTCAAAAGATATGTTAAATAATGTGGGAGCCAGAGGACATCCCTTTCGCACCCCAAGGTGTAGAGGGAATGGCTCTGACTGACGGGCACGTAGTTTGACGTGGTGCCGCTCACCATCAGGAAGGTCCTTAAGGATCGTGAGCAAAGGGTGAGGGACTCCGAAAGCATGAAGAACAACCCAGAGACCAGGCCCTACTCCGAGCCCCCTGCTTGGTATAGGCCAGGGGTGGGCAAATTTTTTGACTCGCGGGCCACAATGGGTTCTAAAATTTGACAGAGGGGCCGGGCCAGGAACAGATGGATGGAGTGTTTGTGTGAACTAATATAAATGACGTGGAAAAATCAATACATGAGAGGATTTGGCCTTTAACAGGTAGCAAAGCATTTATTTGCAAGGCAATTTAACAAATTGCACGAACATGAACAATACAAAAACATGTCGTAACGTGACTGATCAAACATCATGAAAACAGCGCCGTCTAATGGGGAAATGGGGGCATTACAGGAGAAAGGTAACATTCAATTTAATAATTATAATAATATTTGGACAAGTTAGGCGGGCCGGATTAAAAAGCCTAACGGGCCGTATACGGCCCGGGGGCCGTACTTTGCCCATGTCTGGTATAGGGTATTTCGTTTTCCCAGCCGTCAACTTTAAATTAGTTTAATTCGCGATTTAGTGCCGTTATTTTAATTATTTACTTACTGCACGAGCTCGACCGTACCAATTGACGCCAATTGCGTGGGGGGGGGGCGGACCCTACCAAGTGATGCGCGTTCAGTCGAGCTCACGGCCACACCACGGCACTCTGTCACGTGAGTACTTTGTGCTATACAGTCACTAAATATACTGATATACAGTCAGCATGTACTCCTGTAGAGTCTATATATACTGCTATAGAGTCCGCATGTACTACTATAGAGTCCATAAATACTGCTATAGAGTCAGCCTGTACTACTGTACAGTCCATAAATAATGCTATAGAGTCAGCCTGTACTACTGTACAGTCCATAATTACTGCTATGCAGTCAGCATCTAATGTACCGTCGATTAATACTGCTATAGAGTCAGCATGTACTACTGTACAGTCCATTAATACTGCTATAGAGTCAGCATGTACTACTGTACAGTCGCTCCATGTCAGTGTAAGTACATTTCTTTCTATGTGTGTGTTTTTTGGTCCATGTGTGCGTGTGAATCCATGTATGCATGTCTGTACGTACATGTGTGCGTACGTCCATGTGTGTGCGTACGTCCATGTGTGTGTCTGAGTCCATGTTTGTGTGCCTCTAGTGGCGTGTGTCAGTCCATGTATGTTTGTGTGGGAGTCGATGTGTGTATGGCAATGTGTCTATGTGTGACAGTCCATGTGTGTGTGTGTGCGTCGATATGTATGTGTGTGTGTAAGTTCATGTCTGTGTGTGTGAGTCTATGTATGTGTGAGTCGATGTGTGGCTGTCAGTCGATGTGCGTGCGTGGGTCCATGTGTGTGTGTAAGTCCCTGTGTGTGTGTAAGTCCATGTGTGTGTGTAGGTTAATGTGTCTATAAATCTATGTATGTGTGTAGTGTCACTCGATGTGTGTGTAAGTCAATGTGTGTGTGTGACTTGATGTGTGTGTGTCAGTCCATGTGCATGTGTGTTTGTCGCTGTGTGTGCGTGGCTTCATGTTAGTGTTAGTCCATTTCGTTGCGTGCCTGTAGGTCCATGTGTGCGTGTTAGTCCATATGTGTGCTTTATTCACTTGCTCAGGGCCTATGATACCATCATTAGGCCTGGGCTCTGGGTTGCTCCTCGTACTTTTCGAGTCCCTGACCCTCTGCTCACGATCCTTAAGGACCTTCATGATGGTGAGCGGCCCCACATCAAACTACGTGACCGTGAATCAAAGCCACTCCCTGTACATCTTGGGGTGCGACAGGGATGTCCACTGCCTCCCACATTCTTTTACATATATTTGGACCACGTACTTCGTTAAGCCTTCAATGCCTCTACCGGAAGAATTCACATCTGGTACAGATACAATGGGAGGCTCATCGATGCCTGGGTGCGGTCAATCGATGGCTCCCTATTGGTCAACCACGTTATGTATGCCGATGATGTGGTAATTAATGCTCACTCAGAAGAGGAGTTGGACGCGCTGCTGCTCAACCTGGAGCTTGCCACTAAGAGGTGGGGCCTTACCATCAGCCCCACCAAAACTAAGCACCTGCCTGGGTATTTTGTACCATCGAACAATCCACCCCCATAACTCACAATTGGTGATGGGTCAGTTGTGGAGAGTGCAGAGTTTCCCATACCTGCCCAGTGTACTAATGACCAGCTCCGGTTTAACACCAGAGGTCTCACTGTGAATCAGTTGAGCGGCATTATCTTTTCATCGGCTGTGTAACACTGTGTTGAAGCTACCTGTTCTCTCGCTCCGCACGAAGCTCCACGTCGTCTCGCCCACGGTCATTCCCTCCCTTCTCTACACTTGCGAAACTTGGACCCCCCTAATGCAACATTTTCGCCGGTTACAAACATTTAGGCTGGCCTGCCTACGATCCATCATGGGTTTAACCAGGCTGGATTGTGTGATGAGCTCACAAATACTTGAAAGATCTGGACAAAGTCCCATTGGTGACCTACGCCAGGCAAGGCTGCGTTGGCTGGGCCATGTAGCCTGCATGCCCAGCCACCGCATGCCTAAACAGCTTTTGTTCCGCCGGATCGAGGTCTCTAAACGGGCGCGGCACAGGCTAGAGAAGAGATGGAGTGATGTGCTACAGGACGATGTGCAGCTGAGTGGACTTGTCGATGACTGGTACCAGCAGTGTCAAGGTCGGTATCTGTGGAGGAGCCTCTTGAAGGACGCTACAGGCCAGTTGGAGGCAGTCGGTCTCCAACAACAACAGAGGGCGGAGGAACGACGCTCACACCAACGAGCGGTGCACCGTGTGGCTAAAGCACAGCAAGTTAGCAGGTCACAGGGCACAGGTGGTGCATCTGCCAGTCATCTCAGTCGACCTGTGCCATCTGGGTCTGCCCCGTGACCTGCCAGCAGGTGTTCGGCACTTCACGTGGCCTCAAGGTGCACATAGCCTGCCACAAGCGTTGTGGTGACGTCACTGCCACTTAGTGGCGAATGGCGGTTGTTCAGTCTATGTATGTATGTGCGAGTCGATATGTGTGTGTAACTCTGTGTGTTTGAGTCAATTTGTGTGTGTGTAACTACATGTGTCTCTCAAGTCGATGTCTGTGTGTGTGAGTCCATATGTGTTTGCGTGCATGTAAGTCAGTGGATTTCTGTGTATGGGTCCATGTCTGTAAGTCCATGTGTGTGTCTGCCTTTTTCGCCCGGGCAACGCCGGGTACTAACCGCTAGTTATATATAAGACTCACCACACATGCACACACAAGGAGAAAAATGCCTCCAATATAGCCTTAACAGATTGTTGGGGAAAGAGTTGTTAGCGAGCACCTGTGCAGACCAACCCGGCACACGAAGGGGTGGGTGGTGAGCAACACTACCCATTGCTGCTGTTTACCCACCATACCAGCTACTAATTTAAGGCTAAGTCGACCTCAGGGAACGCCCAGAACCAGGTTCAGATATTCATCACCGATGTTAGCCGTGAGCAGGAATCGAACTCGGTTCGTTAGTGTGTGCTAACCACTACTCCGCTGCCCACATATGCACGCAGCACACATACATATGCGCCTACACATACAAATCCACAAACAAGATGCTGTTGATGAGCAATTATTGCAATGCAATATAATTTTTATTTAGCTTACAAATGCACTGAATGAGCAAGTGAGAGAGAGCGTACATCCATCACACCGCTCTGTTCGGTTTTAGATCGAATTCGTCCTGGGTCCACTAATGGAGCATTAATTTCAGGGCCATGGCGTCTGAATCGATGTGGGGGAGACGTCCCGAGTCCATTTACTCTTCTTTCCGACGCCGCGTGAAATCGATTTGCTTAACTTTTTTTAATGAGAATTTGCAAATAAATACAATTTCCTTGGTCCATTGTGTCTCAATGAGTGTCTTTGTAACGACGAGGTGCACCTATCCTGGCACAAGCACCGTTGGTGACATCACTGCCATTTTGAGTGACGAACGGCAGTTGTGACCGCAAGAGTTGTTCAACGGGAGCACAGTGGCCTTATCAGAGGACAAATGACAAACTCGACACGGTCATTAACACTTCAGAAACCTAGAAGTGTATGGACTTGCCCTCACATTTTAAAATAAGTTTCGTCTTTTTTTATATATATCATTGAGCAGGAGATAAGTCCGTTCGCGTGTCTCGCAGAGAGAGAA